GCCTGTCGAACAGATCGCGCAGCTTCGGCGGCAGGCCCTGCGCGTCGCGCACGGCTCGACCGATGTCGAGGATGGTCTTGGTGATGCCGATGCAGGCGTCGATCAGCCCGACCACCGCGATGCCTTCCACGCCCGACATGATCGCTCACTTGTCGGCTAGCAGAGGTAAACAAAATTGATAGAATGTGATGTGGCGCACGACTCACACAGGGTAACGATATGAAGTATGTCACTCGATCAAGGCTGAGCACCACAGTCTGTAACAGAAGCGCTGCGGCTCTAGACTACGCCACAATCAAGATGTCCTGCTTATCTAAACCCACTTGAAGCGCATCCGAACCCTTGCCACGGTGCGGTGCTGCTGTATGCAGCTGCAGCCAAGATTGCATTGAACATAATGTACCTCGCCTATCAAACACCTGATTTACATGCAGAGGAAGAAGTTGATGCCTAAGGCTACAGTTAGGTGACCATATGACTCGTGTATCTGGCAATAGGTAGCACACGCTAAATCTATCAGAAAGCTGCAACATAAGAGATCGCTGTCCATTACGAAAACCCAGTTGGATTTTGTGATCGTAGTCGGGAAGAGACTTTTTCGAAGATCTCCTAGTTGTCGTTACAGCGATGGTCGAAAGGCGGACCTTGTATTGGCCAGTGACAAACTACCACGCGATACTGTTCGGGATACTTTCGTATACCTTAGATTGTCCGTAGTAACGCGGGTTGATCTGCCCCAGATTTGCTCTATTATAACAACATTCCATTCGTTATGTTTCCTACACATCGAAAGCGAGCACATCGCCTGCGGTGTTCATCCTCGATATCGCGCACATCGTCCCCTGTGCGGCTGCGTAGTGAGAAAATCATCGCTCTAGCTGCAATCTCAGCTTCGCTGTCACACAATTTGATTGAGTGCGGCCAACGTTACGTGTGCCGCAAGCAGAGGTAAGCCAGAAATTGCTCAGAAGCCGGTGTACGTTCCGGAAATATGCGTGCACCCACTAGTTGCCGTCTTCATCCTTACGACCACGTCTTACCAATCACGGTAACACAGACGCCCATAGCAGTAGGTATCTGACAAGTTTCGCTCGAGGTGAAGCGATGCAAAGGATGGCAAGGCGCGAATCGTCGAGACCGGATTCAGGAATCGGCATCCAGAACAAGGGCATCTGTGGAATGCCTATTTGTAGACACCATACGTAGGAGCCTTCGTTGTACGTGCTCGCTCGTCGAGGCCGGCGCTTCGCTGCTCTTCACTTCTCGACACCGACTTCCGAATAATCACTTCTCGAATATCCTGCAGTGATGGAGAACAGTGTCGAATTCGCATCTCGAGCAGAGGCGTGTTCGTCCGACAACGATGGAAACTCTCTTCTGCGGACGGCTCAGTGGTATCGTCGTCACGGTCGTCCGTCGCGTCAAGACAAGGCAGCTCAACAGCAGTATCTCTCGCCCTCCGAGGAACAAGCACTAGCCGAGTTCATGCTGCACATGGTCCACACGCAGTGCTTACTCCCTGTCAAGTCGCTACGCATACTCGCTCAGATCATCCGGCGTCAGCGCTGCTGCATTTTTCCAGACGTTGGGGGCCGACGAGTTGCGCGCAGCGCGGCCGTCCTGCGTGCCGCATGTGTTTGACCCTCAGACCCGCGCCCGTATTCAGGGACGACCTCGCGTTTTGATCAGCGGTGGCGTTAGCACACACGAGTCGCTTAAGGTCCCCACGTATTGCTTCCAAAACAACACCATCCTATGTAGATCCCTAACCCATACTTCACACAAAGTGCAACCTTGCGATGTAGGTCTTTTCGGCCCGCTGAAGACAGCATGTCGCGAACGGGTTGAGCGACTGTACCGCGGCGTAGCGAACACGATCGGCGAGCAGCACTTCACATTGTACCGCAAGCCGCACGTTAGCCCTGACCCCACGCAGCATCCGCGCCGGCCTGTTCCCTGTCAACCCTAATCTTGTCCTCGGCGAGCTCCAGCCAGCATCCTCCTAGTGTGCGCACCGCTCTGTCTCGAAATCGTGTCGTGAGCAACAGTATCCCTTCGGTGTCGGACTCGACGCTCCGTACGTCAACCACACTACACAGCTTCCAGCATGTACGGTGTAAACTACAAGACAAGTTCGACGCGTGCGACGAGGAGTCTCGGCTGGTTCTTACCAAGCTCAGCAATGCGATGGAGAAGGTGTGCGAGAAGTGAACGCGTGAGTCAGCCTAACGGCCTACGGTCAGTCAAGCAAAAGTCATATCATAAACTCTAAGAGGACACTCATGTAACGTAATCTATCACCGAGCGGGCCAAATCACCGAACGGGCCATTTTGTCTTGGCATTACAACTGAGGTGACTACAACCGTTGTTTATTCAACCACACACTTAGTTATACATCTGCTATGCTAGGATATGGTTCAGAAGGAGCATCTCTATCTGTCTGGCAAGTTCGTGAGTTGTGTCCAGCTATTCCGCAGTTTCTACATCGTCGTTGAGTTGGAGGTCCTCGTTCAGACTCAGCTTCATTACAAGTCCTTTTTGATCGTTGAGCACCTATCCCCGCCTGTGCGATTGCCTGTGATGCTCCAATACCATACTCTATAGATCCAC